GAGCTGTAAAAATACATTGAGATGGTTTTTGGTACTTATACCGCAAATATATATTCTTAAGGACATCAAAACCTAAAATTAAACTCCAGAAAGGTGTACAATATGTGACCTTTAAAATAGTTCAATTTTGTATGTAATGTCAAAGTGATTATATTTCGTTTAGTTTTTTTATTATGCTAATTTAGAAAAACGTTTGGAGCATTTTTTGTTCGATAAATGTACGTTTTTGTTTTTTAAAGTAACGACCAAGCGGCCAGCGCAGACAGTGAGTTGATCATAGCCTATGTTTGATCAATTTAGCCTTCTCAAATCATCACGACTTGCCTAGAATAAAATCTATAGATATAAAGCAGTTCAAGCATATCACAATGTTAGTTTAAATGTTTAACCTATATAAATGTGCGCTTATATAGACGCATATCTAATTGTGCGGAGAGCTAAAGCACGCTTTACAGGACATGGAGGTGCCGGCGCCGTCATTTTTGCTCATAAAGGTAAGAGTAATATATCACTCGGAACTGTAAAGGGTCTACTTTTATTTGTGTGCACTCACAATATCAACAAAACGTTATGCTTTTATTAAATAAAGGATACATACAGGATGCGCTTTCTGCAATTTCGGCCAGGAGCGCTTCACAATGATGAACCGAAACTCAGAGAATACTTGCCTCAGACTTGCTAAATATATCTATAGAAAGCTTTAAATTACTACTTTAAAAGTGCGGATGAAGACCACAACTCCCATGATTCCACACTCAGTCACGACGTCATCAAACTACGCCTTTGTTTCTTTTGAATACGCGCCCTCCAGCGGCGAAAATTACATATTGTGCCTTTAAGTTCTACTTCTGTAGTTATTTTGGTGAAAGTAACTCAAAAGTAATACAGGAGTCATGTAACGCATTACAATTCTGAAACAGTAATATTGTAAGGTAAGGAATTACTTATAAATAACAGTAACAAGTAATCTATAATGTATTACACTTTGGAAGTAACTTGCACAACACTGTATATAAAACACTTAGGTCTGATCAAACAATTTATTATTTAAATTAATTGTTCTGATTGGATGTGTTAAGGGACGAACAAGACGTGCAGATCCATTTGCAAGCTTTATTTAGGAGACGTGGTCAGAAACAGGCATGATCAGAGAATGGCAAACTGGTATGTAGAAGACCAGGCAAGAGCAATCAGGTAAACAAGCGAGGGTCAGTCGACGGCGAACGTAATCCAACAGGGCGAGACTAGAGGGATAATCCAGGAACAAAGCAAAGGTCCAGGCAGGGGCAAACAGTATCCGAACAGGGCAAGACGAGAGAGGTAATCCAAAGTACACAGGCAATGATCAGAACACGAGAAAACACAGACAAGGCAAGACTAAGCTAAGACTAGGAAACTTAAATCAGGCTCCGTAAGGTAGCTATCAGCTATAGCAGGGATACACACTAAACAATACTCGGCGTTGAATGGTGGCGTGAGATTTATATAGTGTGTGTTATTGGTAGCAGCTGTGTGTGATTGGTTTCAGGTGAGCTTGTGATTAGTGCAATGGAGCATGGGAAATGTAGTCCAGAGTGATGTGTAACAGTCTGTGTAGTGTGAGAGTCCATGTGGAGAGTGGGTGACCTCTGGTGGTGAGTGCACTGAAGTTTATAGACCGGATTCGTGACAGGATGCTGTCGGTAATACGCACTTACCTAAAGCTAAAATAAATTTTGTGCCTCTAACAAGTGCTTTTGACCACCTTATTGATCTGAATGCTGAAAACACGAGGTTTGCCACAGACTTGTCCCACTGCCTGGAACGCAACTGAATGCTTTTTCAAGTGCCTCCATACTTGTAAAAACCGTGGAAAGCTAGGATTAGGAAAGGAAAGGACATGTGGCCAAGTGTGGGATCCCTGATCTTTGTAGAGAATGTCGCTGTAATCTTTACAGACATTGCACATTTAGATGGGACTAAAATCACTGAGAAGCTCTGGTAATACTTTCTTTATTCCACCTCTCCATGTAAAACTAATCCTGTCCGAATAGGACTTAACAAAGAACACAATCAGATTCTCACACTTACATGATTTTTCATATGAATATACTAATGTGATGTTTTAATTAGACTGATCACAACTGGATTGTCTTTCTTCAGAGTGAATGTGCAGATGATTGTTGAAATTGCCATTTTCCTCAGTGTGACATGAGGTTTAGAATTTCTTTCCAGAATGAGTTTGCAAATGCCGTTTCATGTTTGTGTGATATGTGAAACTCTTTTCACACTGAAGACACTTGTAAGGTTTCTCTCCAGTGTGAACTCTCATGTGAATCTTAAGGTTTCCTTTCGTCATGAAGCTCTTTCCACACTGAGGGCAGGTGAACGGCTTCTCTCCAGTGTGAATTCTTAAGTGATTATCAAAGTTTGATCTGTGTATGAAACTCTTTCCACACTGATGACATATAAAACAGTTCTCTCCTGAGTGAATCCTCATGTGAAGATCAAGGTGCGCTTTATATCTGAAACTCTTTTCACACTGATCACAAACAAACGGTTTCTCTCCAGTGTGAATTGTCATGTGGGAATTAAGGTACTTTTTCTGTTTAAAACTCTTCCCACACTGCGAGCAGATGAATGGCTTCTCTCCAGTGTGAACTCTCATGTGAAT